TATTGTAAATGGACTTATTTTCATAATTTCATTTTTGGATTTTCACTGCTAGTGTAGAGAATACAATTGACCCTTATATATTGATCTTGTATTCTGCAAACTTGCTAAACTTGTTTATTAGTTCTAATAGTGTTTTTGTGCATTTGTTAGGATTTTCTATATACAATATCATGTCATCTGCAAATAGAGGTAGTTTTACTTCTTCCTTTCCAATTTGGATGCCTTTTATTACTTTTTCTTGCCCTAGCTGGATTTTATAATTCAATCTCAGAGGCTTTGCTTTTTATTTCAATAGAGAAATAATTTATATACTGTAAAATGCACAAATCATAAGTATGCAGCTTGATGGAATTTTATACGTGTGTACACATAACTGCCAATCAATATATAGAACATTTTTGCCACCCCAGAAAGTTCCCTCTTTCCAGTCAATACTCTTTCTCTGAGAAACCACTGCAAACTTCTATTACCATACATTAGTTTTGCCTACTTTCGAACTTCATCTAAATGTAATCATACAGTAATACATTCTTTTGTATCTGGCTCTTTTACTCAACTTAACGTTTTGAGATTAAGAATGGATGCTGTGATGTATTGCCCAGATCCCTCTTTCAAGATGGAGGCAAATGTCTGTTAAAGTCTTTTGTCCGTTAAAAAATTGGGTTATTTGACTTCTTTTCTTGATTTATAGGAGTTATTTATAAATTCTGTATAGGAGTCCTTTGTTAGATATTGCTATGGCCTGAGTGTTTGCATCCTCCCACGTTCATATGTTGAAATCCTAACGTCAAGTTGATGATATTGGGGGGTGGGGGCCTTCCGGAGGTTAGTAGGTCATGAGGGTAGGGCCCTCATGATTGGGATTAGTGACCTTGTGAAAGAGGTCCCACAGAGCTCCCAAGATCCTTCTACCTTGTGAGGGCACAGTGAGAAGGCGCTGTCTATGACCCAGAAAGTGGGCCCTCAACACATAATGAATTTGCTGGCACCCTGAACTTGGACTTCCCAGACTCTAAGGAATAAATTTCTGTTCTTTATAAGCTACCCAGTGTGTTATAGCAGCCCCAATAGACTAAGACCGGCATATAGGTTATATTTCTTACAGGGTATGGCTTGCCTTTTCGCTTTCTTCATGGTGTCTCCTGATGAGTATAGATTTACATTTGTGAGGTCCGATTTTTCAGTTGTTTTCTTCTGTGGTCTATAGATTTTGTGTCTTTGCCTACCCCAAGTTCATGATAGTCTCCTATGTTTTATTTTAGGACTTTTGTAATTTTAGCTTTCACATTTGGTTCTTGATCCATCTTGAATTAATTTTTGTGGATGGTATGTGGTAGGGGTCAAGCTTCATTTTTTTTAAATACATATTTCCAGAGCTGATGTATTAAAACTGCTGAAAGAAAGAACTGTTAATCAAGAATACTGTATCTGTCAGTTATCCTTCAGAAATGAAGGTGAGATAAAGACTATCCCAAACATGCAAAAATTGAGGGAGTTCATCACCATGAGACCTGCAAGAAATGCCAAAAAGAGTTCTTTAAGTGGAAATGAATGAACAGTTTTTAGTAACATGGAAACATATGAAAATAAACAACACACTGGTAAAGACAAGTATATAGTCAGGTTCAGAAGAGTCCAATACTGTAATACGGTGGCGTGTTAACCACCGAACTCTAGTATAAAGGTTGAAGGACAAAAGTATTAAAAATAGCGACAGCAATAATAATTTGTTAATGGATACACAATACAGAAAGTTGTAAAGTGTCACATAGAAAACATAAAATGTGTGTTTTGGGGAATAAAAGAATGTAGAGTTTTTGTGTATGAACAAAGTTAAGTCATCATCAGCCTAAGATAGACTGGTGTACCTATAAGATGTTCCAAGTAAGCCTCAGGGTAACCACGAAGCCAAAACCTGTATTAGATACACACCAGATTAAGCGAAAGGAACAAAAGTATTCCAGTATGGAAAATCATCAAATCAGAAAAGAAGACAGCAAAAGAGGAAGAAAGGAACAAAGAAACCATAAAATAGCCAAAAAACAAAGAACAAGATGACAGTCGTAAGTTCTTACCTATCAGTAATTACTTTAAGTGTAAGTGGATTAAATACTCCAATCAAAAGGCATGGAATGGCTGAATGGATTTGAAAGACATTCCACACAAAGGCAAACCCAAAGAGACCAGGGGTAGCTATACTTACAGCAGACAAAATAGACTACGTCAAAAACTGCAAAAAGAGGGAAAAAAAGGTTATTGTATAATGATAAAGGAGTGGATTCATCAAGAATATATACAATGGTAAATATATATATACCCAACATTGGGACACTTAAATATATTAAACAAATACTATCAGATCTGGAGGGAGAAATAGACAACAATACAATAATGGCAGGGGACTTCAAAAACCCGCTTTCAACAATGGATAGATCATCCAAACAGAAAATCAATGAGGAAACATTGGATTTGAACTATACTTCAGACCAAATGAACCTAACAGACATATACACAACATTGCATACAACACAGCAGAATACACATTCTTCTCAAGCACACACAGAACCTTCCTCAGGGTAGATCATAAGTTAGGTCACATGACAAGTCTCAGCTCATTTACAGAGACTGAAATTATACCAAGTATCTTTTCTGACCACAATGGTGTGAAACTAGAAGGCAATAATAGGAGAAAACTGGAACATTCACAACTATGCGGAAGTTAAACAAGACACTCCTGACCAACCAACCAATAGGTCAAAGATTTTCTGCCTTCCTGTAATTGCCTACATAACTCTAATTAACATGACCTCCCACTAGTTCTTGATTTTTTTGATCTTTTCACATTTTCTACTAAAGCTCTGTTGTATTACATGAGGATTCAGTTCACGTATGCACTTTCCTTATCTTCCCTTCTTTAGTTTTGGTAGGTAGATCTTTTGTATTTGTCTGCTGGTTACCTTCACCAATATTTCTTTCCCTATTTTCTAATTCAAGCCACTCTGCCATATATTGCTGCTACTACATACATAGAAAAACAACATTTGCTTTATGTATTTCAGACAGACACTTATATGTCACTCTTCTGGTTGTAAATATTCTCTCCATTTTGGATCTGAATGTATTTTTCATCTTTAATTCAATCTGCATCACTTCAATTAAAGGACAGAAAAATAAAATTCACATGGGAAGCCTTGTGTGTGTGAAATGGAACCCTCATAAAATATTAAACCACGCACACACATACACACACAAAACCAAACTCAGCACCTGATTCTTCCTTTTATCTGAGTAATAAGGGTGAGTCACTCTTTGAAATCCTCCCTGGGATCCATGTAAATGACCAAGACAGTGAGGTAGTAAATGATCTTCAAAGTGGGCATCCTTCCAACAAACGTTTGCATTGATTTCATTATTTCTAAAGGCTGATTGACGCCAGAAAGAACAAAGAGATAAGGCAAAAAACATCTCTTTCATTGCCCCTCTATCTTGTATTTTAGAATGAGGATGTGATATTGGACAAATTCTGTCGTCATTTAGGGAATTTTAGACATTCCCTGCTGGGGGGCTAAGGCAGGCTAGCGGGTGGGGTAAGGACAAGCTGCACCATGGGGTCAGGTTTTCAGAAGTTCTGTGTGCTGTTTATTAGTTGTTCTTTATGACATTTGGGGATTAAACTTATTTAAAAAGGCTAGAGACAACCAATCAGTTATTCTGACCTAATATGAAACCATTGCTTTGTTTGAACTTTTAGCTTTTAATGCTATAAAGTACAGTATGGCACTTCCCTACTGCAGATGAAGAAACTAGAGTGGGTTTTCAGCATGCGTTAAATGGAAATAGGGAAAGGATATCAGACGCCTTCCCCAAGAATTTCCTGGTAACTGAGAAAGGAGGACAGAAAAAAAGATGAGAGGGACGGGAGGACAAATGAAGTCAGGGTGTGTGGGGAAAAGCCAGAGGCACCAGGACAGCAGGACTAATTTATGAGAAAGAATCTTTTCATTATGAAGAAAATTATTCCAGATTCCTAAATATAAGCATGCGTTAACAAGATTTAACGTTGAAAATTTTATTGAGAATACTTACAATATTATTGAGGCAAGTAACGGGAGATTGAATAATATATTAGTATCCCAGAGGGAATGGTTGGTTTCAATTATCTTAATCTGAGTACAGAGGACAGACAGAAAAGGACCTGGAGTTTTAATCATTCGGGCAAAAGGAATTTATCTTTGAGTTTATCCACTGACAACTTTGGTGAGGCAAGGTGAGTTGGAGGACTCAAGTTCTAACTCGATGCTGTCCAATAGAAATATGGTGCAAACCAGACATGTAATTTTAAATTTTCTTATAGCCAAATTATAAAAAGTAAAAAGAAACAGTGAAATTAATTTTAATAATACATTTCACTTAACCCAATATGCTCAAAATAGTCCAACATTATAAAAATTATTGAGATATTTTACAGATTTTTTATTCTAAGTTTCAAATTTCAGTATATATTTCATACTTATAGCATATCTCAAAAGAGATGCTAAATTTTCAATATGTGAAATGTATCTGTACTAAAACAATAAAATTGTATTTAACAGAAACCCATTCTTACACTTCTTTAGTTTTAATACTTAATTAATTAAAATGAAGTTAAATTAGAAATTCGGTTCCTCAGTTGCAGTAGCCACCTTTCAAGTGCTCAATAGTCACATGTGGATGTGGTCTGCTGTTTCGGACAGCATACCTCTCACCTAAAGGTACCCTTAAGATTTCCATGCAGTCCAAGCCCATCGCCAGTCTTCCCGAAAGAACTTCTTGGGTTAGAACGGTTGTAGTTTGTGAACATCCCAGCTGTTCTGTGTCCCTTCACATTCCTATGTTGAAACCCTAACCCTCGGTACCTCAGGATGTGCCTGTACTTGGAGACAGGGACTTCCAAGAGGTATTTGGGTACAGCGAGGTCATGTGAGTGGGCCCTGATCCAGTATGACTTGTATCCTTCTAAGGGCAGGAAATTTGGACACGTGGAGAGACACGAGACATGCACTCGCACAGAAGAGGGGCCATGTGAGGACACAGCAAGAAAGTGGTCACCTGCAAACCAAGGAGAGAGGCCTCCAAAAGAACTAAGCCTGCTGACGCCTTGATCTTGGACTTCCAGCCTCCAAAAGTGTGAGAAAATACCTTTCTGGTGTTTAAGCCCCCTAGCCTGTGGTATTTTGTTTTGGCGGCCTGAGCTGACCAATACACTGGTCCAGTAGCTAGAGGGTTAAAAAAAAATTGGGTAAGCTCTTCATCATTTCAGATGCGTTCCTCCTATTTTGTCACCAGCTTCATATTTTAATGTCCCACAAATCCTTAGAGCTTGGCTCTCTGAAAACCATTTTAAGAAAAAGAAATACCCAGAGGGTGTGTTTTTTTTTTTTTTTTTAAAGATTTTATTTTTCTCCTTTTTCTCCCCAAAGCCCCCCGGTACATAGTTGTATATTTCGTTGTGGGTCCTTCTAGTTGTGGCATGTGGGACGCTGCCTCAGCGTGGTCTGATGAGCAGTGCCACGTCCGCACCCAGGATTCGAACCAACAAAACACTGGGCCGCCTGCAGTGAAGCGCGCGAACTCAACCACTCGGCCACGGGGCCAGCCCCCCAGAGGGTGTGTTTTTTAAAACTGGCCTTGTGTGCAAGTTCTTGAGTGGTTGGTTGGACAGGGTGTTGTGTGTGTTTTCCATTTGGAAGGTGGGGAGTGAATGAGTCACATCGACAAACCACAGGCGCACGGCTGTGAGGTTCAAAATGAAGTGTCCATGCGCATCAAGCCGAACCTCTTGCCTTTGTCCATCACAGACGTCGAGCCTCTTCATGATCGCCAAGGTTCGTTAATAGCGTTTGTTCTATGCTAATACAATCAGAAAATTATGCAAGCCGTCTATTCCTTCCCAGAGAGAACAGGGTGAGCAGCCATTAGTGATTCACACTGATGAGCCTTCACTAATTGCGCAGAATGTAATTAGTGATTATATAATATTTGAGCTCTTGCAACTGTCATTAATGTCTGCGATTCACCAGAGATGGGCCCTACTGAATGGAGTGTGATTGCCGCATGCTAAATCTAGTTAATCCGGGGTATGTTAATCAGCACAGGATATACTTTAGGCAGTGGTTAAAAGCTCTGGCGACCTCAGAAAAAACCCTGCCATCCACCAAAAGCTGAATTGCTTACAATAGGCATCCCTTTCAAAAAAGAAATTTAATAGCTAAATGGCCTGGAAAACTTGAGGGCAGAGTTATTGGATAGTATTAACATTTAGATTTTTCTGTAACAGATACAGTGACCGAAATGTTGTAATTGTGCTGGCATTAATTTATGATACATTTGACTATTGACTCAGGGAGTATTATGTGCTGAAGTTATAATGGTTTTGTCCTCGGCTAAGGAGAACTGGATTAAGAAGTAGTTCTTTATAAGAGGAAAGACGGCTATTTGTTATTGCCCAGAGCCCTCTTAGAGCACAGTTTTGGAATTCATTTTATGGAACAAAGTTTGAGAAGCAATAACATTATAGTGATATTTTGCTTCCTGTAATAAAAGTTGTGTTCTAAGATAGATTCACATGATAATGCATTTCACCATGTCCTGAATTAAGATAGATTTTCAAGACATTTGCAGCAGATGCTATGGATGCCCTACTCTGTGTTCGCTGGGTCATTGAGTTCACCCACAGTTGCAGTGGCCAGTTCCCATATATACTGTAAACTTCCCACCCCAAGCATCTTTCTCTCTCTGCTTTTCTTCCCTGATGCTTTCTTTTTTCTTTTCTTTTCTTTCTTTTTTTTGGGGGAGGAAGATTGGCCCTGAGCTAACATCTGTGCCCATCTTCCTCTATTTTATATGTGAGACTCCTGCGACAGCATGGCTTGATAAGTGGTGCATAGGTCCACACCCAGGATCTGAACCGGCAAACCTAGGGCTGCTGAAGCAGAGTACGCAAAATTAACTGCTATGCCACAGGGCTGGCCCCCTCAGATGCTTTCTTTAGTACCCCCATGAGCTTGGTCAACCCACTTGTAGGGTGAGCTGTAAGTGTCAAGGATTCAACAACTCTGGGATAAGTCTCAACCAAAAGGAGGCTTGGTGGAGAGATACCCTAGCTTCCCCATCTTTGGGGGACATTTCTGAGGGTACGTTCTACACAGTTTCGCAGAGGGTCCCCTGCACCATTGAGTACCATTTGTTCATAGTGGCAACCTGCTTGTTAACGCGGTCTTTATTAGTTTTTGTCCCTTTTCTGTCTCCCTTCCTGACTCCCTCACTTATGTTTCCTGGGATCATCTCCTAGGATGCCTAATTTTATGTGTCAATTCGAAAAGCTGTCGGCTGCTCACATTAAATATTATTTCTGGATGTGTCTGTGAGGGTGTTTTTGAATGAGCTTAGCATTTGGATTGGTGGACTCATTAAAGGATTGCCCTTCCCAACGTGAGTGGGCATCATCCGATTCATTGAGGGCCCGAACAGAACAAAAGGCTGAGGAAGAAGGCATTTGCCCCTTTTTTAGCTGCCTCACTGGTAAGCTGGGCTATCTCATCTTCTCCTGCCCTTGGGCTCGAGACTGAATTATGCTACTGGTCTTCCTGGATCTCTAGCTTGCAGGCAGCACATCATGGGATTTTTCAGCCTCCATAATCCTGAGATCCAATTCCTCATCATATACACATAATCTCCTATTGGTTCTGTTTCTCTGGAGAACCTTGACTAAAACGCCTCCAAATAAACTACCTGCACTCAAACCTTCACCTCAGGGTCTGCTTTTGGAAAACCCAACAAAAACATTCCCTTTTTACCATCCATTTCCAATACTTCATCACTCTAACCGTGGTAACCTCCAGTAGCCTCTTCATATGTGTAGCAAGCCCTGAGCAGTACTCTCCTGGTATGTATAGTTTTTACTAGTGAATTTATGTGAATTAAAATCTTTTATACAAACCATAATTTGTGCTTTAAGTGACAGTACATATAAATGGTTGTTCCCAATGTAGAATTTACAGGTTTACAAATTTCCAAGGCCTGGTCTAGTTTTTCATAAAATAATAGGGCAACTGTAGAACCCAAGGAAAACAGAAACTTAGGATTTATATGATTTCCTCCCACTTATGTATTTTATATAAATAATAAATTAGCTGGCATCTTTGCTTTGTAAGGTGCTTTCTAGTGGCTGTTTGACCAGCTCAAAGTCTCTGAGGTATTGTTTGAGAAAAGTTCTCTGAATAATAATAATGACAGGAACTTGGACCACCACTTATTCTCTACCAGGCACTGTGCTAAGCTTTCTGTTTAAGAGCTATCATCATCCCCAGTTACAGATGAGGAAATGTGGCTTAAAAAGGTTAAGTGATATCTTGCCTGAGGTCCCATGACCTTTAAGTGGTGGAAACAAGGGTTGGGGCCTAGACACTCCTTGCTTTAAAGCCCATTGTTTGCTTTGAGGCTGATAATCAAAGAGATTAGGATGCTCCCCTTGCATCTCCGCCTGATTCTCCTTCATTGGCCTGCACTAAGTCAAGGGCCAAGACACCATAGCAGACATCATGTCTGCCCCGGCAGTCTCATGCACACTAGCTCCCCAAAGCCCTTGCCTGTGTCTCTTTGTCCACAGGCTGCCCTCAGGGCTCTTCTGCTCTGAGGCCAGTGGAGATGCTTGAATTTATGTCTCCTTAGGGGCAGCCTGTAACAAAGTCAGATGGGAGGAGCCTGCCTGCCCTGGTCAGGACACGCTGAGGTGGGATCTGTACTGTCCCCAGAGCTCCCCTGTTGGGTTGAACCAAAGCCACGTTCTGGACAGTTGGCTTGATACTGTGCCTGGGCTGGCCTCCTTCCCTGTCCTCCTTCCCCACTCTCCCACCAGTTTTTCCTGGGCTCAGTTCTTAGTAAGCAGTGTTCACAGGAACATTCATCTTAGGGACTGCTTCTGGAGAACCAAGCCTAAGACGGAATCCATGAAAAGGTCTGTGAATTCTTGGAGCCAAAGCCACCCAGGGAGGTAAACCTGAAAGACAAACTGGAATTGGGAAGTATGAACAAGGTTTTTCATTATGTAGAACAGAATAAAACTGGAATACAGTTGGAAACAACTTGGACATCTCTCAATAACGGATGAGTTAAATAAATTACAGCACATTCATACAACGGAATAATATGCAGCCGTAAAAAAGAATGAAGAGATTTCATTTTAAATCAGCAGGAGTAAATTTAATCTATTGGATAGGAAGAAAAAAAAAAGAAAAAGGACTAAATAGAAAATATAAAATAAGAAGATAGACTAACTTTTAATATATTAGTAATTGTAACAAATGGATGTGACTTAAAAACAGACTCTCAGACTGGATTTAAAAATCCAATGATATATACAAGAGACACTCAAAATGGAAAAGTAAAGAAAATTAGAAAATAATAGGATGAAAAAACTGTGGTGGGAAAATATGAATCAAAAGAAAGTCGGTGAAAATAAATGTCAAGGGATGTAATGCAGAGCAAGGTGACTTGCATAACAGCACTATATTGCATATGGAAGGTTGCTGAAAGAGTAACTCTTAAAAGTTCTCAGCACAAGAAAAAGAAGTTCTGTAACTATGTAGGATGATGAACGTTAACTAGATTTATTGTGGTGATCATTTCACAATATATACAAATATCGAATCATTGTGCTCATTATGTTATACACCTGAAACTAATATAATGTGGTATGTTAATTATACTTCAATAAAAAACAATTGCTGTAGCAATCTCAATGTTCAACAAAATAAAATTTAAGGCAAAATACCATTAACAACAAAACAAAATGTTATACAACTGTAGAGGAACAAAAAGACAAAAACATCTACCCATCCTAACTATATATGGCCCTTGTGGATCAGCAACAACTGATAAAACCGCAGAGAGAGTTAGATAAACCAACAGTTGTTCCTGGGGTTTTAATACAGCCCTTTCAGAAACTACTAGACAAAGGACATTAAAAAGAAGCAGAGATATAAAAATCTGAACAGTACAGAACAGCTTCAGCTCATGGATGTATATAGAGCTTTATACAGAAAGAGGGAGAGAGATTGAGTTTTCTTGATCACACATGGAACATTTTTGAAAACAAACCATGTATTAGGTCATAAAGGAAATCTCAATAGATTCCAAATAACCAATATTTTTATTTTCTCTATTTGGCTATTTTCTCTGCCATAATGGAATCAATTAGAAGTGAATAACAAATCTGATAGGTTTTTAAATTAAAAACATATTACTAATTAACCCCTGAGTTAAAAATCACTAAAGAAATGAAAGAATATTTAGAATTGAATAATTAAGCCCTACTTATCAAATTTGTGGTTTATAGCTAAACACAGCACTTACAAGGAATTTTTTTAAGCTTCTAAATACATTATTAGGAAATCAGCAAGGTTAATAATAAATAAATATTCAAGTAAAACATTTGGAAGAAACACAACAGGACAAGACCAAATTGGACATCTCAAAAGAAGAAAGGAATAAAGAGCAGACATTCATGAAACAGAGAAAAAATAAAAAAGAGTTTTAAACTAGAAACGAGTTCTTTGAAAAGATTGATAAGATAGGCCAACCTCTGACCTCTGCACATAAAGAATGACAAAAGGAAAACAACTATAGAAACACCAGAAACTTAAATAAAGTAAAAGAATATTATTATGTATGTATGGTAATGATTCAAAATTCTATGTTGAAATGGTTAAATTCCTAGACAAAAATATAATATCCCAAAATTGGTGTAAAAAAATAATTTGAATAACCAATAAAAATTAAATAAATTGAAATCATGGTCAAAGATCTCTTTTTTTTCTAAACTTCACATGCCTAGATGATTAAAGTAAATTCTTAAAAAAAATTTCAAGGAGTAGCTAGTTCTCACCATAAACAAAGTATTCCAGAAAATGCTGGAAAGAGTAAAGGCTGCCTGATCCCTTTTACGGTATCGTTTTGGTTCTAAGACTTAATGAGTACAATACAAAGAAAAATCATAGGTCCATTTCATTTATGAGGATAAGCGCAGAAATCCTAAATAAAATATCAGTTAATTGAATCCAATAGTATATGAAAATATTTCAAGATTGAGTAGGATTTATCCCCCGAAAGTAAGGATAGTACATGCATTACAATAATAAAATGAAGGAGAATATCATAGGGTTTTCTTAATTAATGCAGAAAAAGCACTTGATAAGGTTCAGCACCCTTTTATAATAAATTTAGCAAGTCATGAACATAAGAGAACTTCTTTTAGTTGATAAAAGTTTTATACCAAAAGTTGCAGCAATCCTTATACTTAATGGAGACTTTAAATCCATTTTCTTTACTATAACACCATTGTTTTATGTAACAATGGGGTGTAAAATGGGGTCATTGGGTTGGAGGATGCCAGGTACAATTAATACAATATTATCATAACGAAAACAGGTATTCATTGACCAAATGCTTAGATAAATGCTACATGCTGAGATTCTCACTCCTCTTTTGGAGCTTCCCAGAAAGCTAGAAGTCAAATCTTCTCCATCCAGATAGAAGACCGAAGACTAGATTCCTGGAAATCTGAACAGTCCAAAAGGAAATATCCAAAGATATGGATATTGAAATTTTGTCAACAAATAGCCCACCCAGATTACCCAGAGGCTGGAAATCAAAAAGCTCCATACAAAAGCAATAAGTATGTATACGACACAGTAAAAAGATCAAAACACGTGGATTTGGAGTCTGAGAGGAGTGGGGCAAAAAATGGGCAGAGGCAATGTTTGAAGAGATTGTAACTGAGAATATCCCAAAGCCGGTAAATGGTATCAGGCCACAGACTCAAGAGGCCCTACGAATCTCAAGCACAATGAATGGAAAGAAACCATACCTGTGGACATCATGCTGACACTGATGAAAACTAAAGAACCAGAGAAAAATTTGAAAGTAGGTGGGAAGTAGGGTGGGAGTGGTGGGAGAAGACACGTTAACAACATTATTCCACAGTTTCTGTTGAAAAATTAACTATAAGTTTAATTGTTGCCCCTTTGAAGGTGAAACACTGAAAGAAAACAATTGCCCAACTCAAATTTATACCCAGTGAAAACATCCTTAATAGTGAATGTGAAAAGGCAATGTTTTCAGGGAAGCAAAAACTGAGATAATTTGTTTTCAGAAGAACCATATTTTTTTTAAAAAATGAAGACAGAGAAAAATTATCCCCCTAAAAAGCACAGAAATGCAGAAAGAGTATTGGAAATGATAGATATACATATAGTTCTAACTCAGTGCTTCCTAACTGAAGGCGAGTTTGTCTTCTGGGAGGCATTTGGTGCTGTGCGTACACATTCCTGGTTTCCACAACAGGAAGGAGTGCTACTGGCACCTAGCAGGCAGAGGCCAAGGATGTGGCTAAACATCTTATAATGCATGGGCCAAACTTCCCTCTCCCAGCAAAGAATTATTAATGCAAAATGTCAAGTTTCAGTGCCGAGGTTGAGAAACTGACTTAAGTAAATATTGATTGCATTAAATAACAAAAATATTGTCTTATGGTGTTAAAATACTTAACTAAAAATAAAAGTTAATAATAGCACAAAATTTAGAAAGAACAAATGGAGTTAAAGTGTCCTAGAATCCTTGAACTGTCTGAGAAATGGTAACAACGCTAATTTATAGTAGACCCTAATAAATCAAGGTGAATGTTGTAATCTCTAGGGCAAACACTAAAAGAATGATAAAAGAATGCATAACTTACTAAGAGAGAGCAAAAATGGAATAATAAAGACGCTTGGTTAATCCCAAAAAGGGCAAAGAAGAAGAGAAAAAGCACAAAGAATAGATAGAAAACAAATAGTAAGATGGTAGATTTAAACCCAAATATATTAGTGTATATGTTAAATACAAACAGACTGAACATCTTAATTAAAAATCAAGACTGTCACTTCCGGTGCGACCGTCGCTTCTGTCCGGCCGGGCGCTGGATGCGTTCGGTTCCTCCTTCCTGCATCTGACAGTCTACACAGCTGCCCCTTGCCTGTTACCAGCGGAAGGGACATGAGCGTCCCTGGGCCGTCCCCCCCGGACGGGGTCCTGTCAGGGCCCCTGGACTGTCTGGGGGCCGCGGAGCCTACGCTGGGTTTAAGTGACACTTCTCCAGACGAAGGGTTAGTAGAGGACCTGATGGTAGACGACAAAGCTGTGGAGCAACTGGCCGAAGGATTGCTTTCTCACTACCTGCCCGATCTGCAGAGATCCAAACAGGCCCTCCAGGAACTCACGACCTCTCTGGATTGCCCAGGCTGGCGTGTCATTTCTTTTTGTGGTGGTCAGCTTTCAACTGGCTGTGAAGTGCTGCTGCCCTAAGACCTACCCTTTGAAAATTTATCTCACAAGCCTTTATGAGGGCAAAAGGAGAGGAATAATCAACTGTGTCCATTTAATAAATATTAACAGAACCAAGTTGTATTGTTAGACACACTGGAACAAGAGATTTCAAAATTTAAAGAATGTCATTCCATGTTGGATATTAATGCTTTGTTCACTGAAGCAAAACACTATCATGGCAAGTTGGTGAATATAAGAAAAGAGATGCTGATGCTTCATGAAAAGACATCAAAGTTAAAAAAAAGAGCACTTAAGCTGCAGCAGAAGAGGCAAAAAGAAGAGTTGGAAAGGGAACAGCAACAAGAGAAGGAATTTGAAAGAGAAAAGCAGTTAACTGCCAAACCAGCTAAATGGATGTGAGGAGTTGGACGTGTGTGTGTGTTCCTTCCCCTATCCTGTGTTCTTTGGATGTAAGATGACTTAAGTGGTGACTGAAGTTAAAGTGGTGCCTTATACCAGTGTGTCACATTTTGAAAACCTTTTCCCAGAAGCCCTGTGTCTGCATATCTTCATTTCAGCCTTTAAAGAAGCTTGTTTTCTAAGTAGAAGACATAATGTGTGTTGGTTTGGATATTTATATGTAACTTTTTCAACTTCTCTTTTGCTTAATTTTAAAATTCCTTCTTTTGGCTTTGAATCATTTATAAACTGGAGAATGGTTTGATTGTTTTAATAGTCTACACTCTAAGTGGTTAAAAATCAGTGTGAATTTTTTAGCTTCTTAATAAGTGTGGATTTAAAAGTTGCAGTTTCTTATTTTATGAAACGACTTGCCTTTCTGGTGGTACATTGCTGGATTTTGGCAATTGCCTTTTCATTACTTGGTTAAGAAGAAATGCCAGCTGGTTAATCACATATGCCGCTGGAAAAGAAGTGGTGTAAGCCCTTGTGCAGAACATGATAGAAAGTGTGCACACAGGAAATAATAGCGTCTTAGACATGGGATAGGTGAACAAGATGCCAGATAGACTTGGCTAACTGTATGCTCTGTCTGCTTCTTAGCATTGTTGTTGCTGTTTAGTTCTTACGAAACTTCTGGGTTCAAAGGAGATGAATCTGTTCCTAAAGTGTGGCTGTGGTGGTGGAACTGTCACACACAAATGCTTAAATATTTGTAATACTTAGTTGTCACACACTGAGATACAGTTGTCAAGTGTATCAGCCCATCTTTCCATTTGGTCATTTAGATTACGTATTTCTGTGTCTTCAGGACTTATTTCTGGGTACTTGTCATTTTCTCTCTGGTTTGGAGATTTAATATAATTTTTGATACTGCTAGGGGGCATGGCTTTATTCTTTTGCATCCTGGTATTATTTGGTTGCTGTTACCACCTCTCACCACTGGGTGGGGGTCAAGAGCCGTATATTCCGAGCCCTCTGCATTCCACCAAGATCCCAGGCACTGGAGCTGGTGCTGGGCAGGTGGGGGGAGGGGCACTGTCTTCTGCAGGCTCTTGTGGGCTTGCTCTCCTCTCACTATCTGCTCTACTGGGGTGTTGGCTTGATGAGGTCACCCCCACGTTAGCTTTCACCTTTGTAGGGGCTTTCCCCTAGGCTGCAAGGGACTTTGTGGGCGTCTTTGGTGTTCTTGTCAATGAGTGTCCTCTCCCCACTTCCTTCCCTCTTGGAGTCCACAGGCAGTCTCAGATCGCAGTCTTTTGGGGAGGGAGCAAAGTTTTCTCTTGCCCTGTTCCTCCTCCTCCCAGGGGAGCTCCAGCCTCTCTACCCTCTGATGTGTGGCTGCGTGGGTCTCTCAGACATCTTTTGTGTTGTGTGGATGTCCTCTGTTGGAGTATGAATCTGTTTTCATTGTATGGTGGAGGGGAGAGATCACCGGAGAACTCTCTCAGCCATGATGCTGATGTCACTCTCCTGTTCTTTTTTTTTTTAATTGAGTTTAATTGAGGTATAATTGACATATGAAATTATATTAGTTTCAGATGTAACATAATTTGAAATTTGTGTATATTGGGAAACAATCACCACAAAAAGTCTGGTTAACATCCATCACCAGACATAGTTGCAGATTTTTTTTCCTTGTAATGAGAACTTTTAAGATCTACTCTCTTAGCAACTTCAAATAAGGCATAATTTGTTCTAATGTATATATATCTTTAAATCATCAGCGTTGTTTGCTATGCAATTCCAGTAGTGTTGCCAATAAAGGAAGACACTTTAACTTGCTTCCATATTGTTCTCTCTGTGTTATTGTGGCCATTTTTACTGTGGCATTAAAGAAAACGGTTTACCTAGTGGTAAGTCTCATTTTGCTTTTATTTATTTAAAAACTGCAATATTTTTCATTAAGCTGAGTGAAGCTTTGATAATATCCTGGATTACATATCTCACAGCTTTAAATACTGCTGAAAAAAATGGCTGACATTACTTTTACATGCTGATGCTTACTATATGCGTGTCTTGGTTATCGCTATGGCTTTATGCCACCATCAGCTGACATGTTTAAACCACAACATACACATAGAGTTAGGTTCACTGTCAATAATAATGGTTGTATATCCTTTTTACCAGTAGTCTTCTTTATAATTTCAATATTTTTTTGGTTGACTTCTTGCCACATTAATTGGATCATTATAGTTTTGACCTTGTAATGAGGTGAATGGAGGATAATGGGAACGAAGTGTCACTTCTGCCATTTTTTTGTTCCTTTCTGCGTGTGATATTAGGATTATCTTCAATGTGTGATTTCTTGGCTAGAATATTTTAAAGTCACTTCCCAAATTGGGAGAGTTAATTTAGTGAAAGCTAGAATTATATAATCTGAACATTCATTTAGTGGAGCTCACAAAAGTGCCCTTTATCACAGTAGCTGGAAAGTCACCAAGCAAGTGTGTGCCTCTCAGCTCTTTGGCGGGTGGGATTGCCACCTTCTCTTGGGGTAACGAGGGTACCAATAATGCAAGACTGACACACAGACGTAGGAAAGGCACTAGTGTCAATCTGCATAATATAGTTCAGTGAAGCTTAATCACTTGCTGTTGTTACATAAAAAGTTACAAATAGAAGTCTTAATTTTTTTTTCTTCACCCAATGGGTTGTCATATGTACCCCAACTTGGAGACTCTGGCTTAAGGCTGTGTTTGTGTGTGTGTGTCTGTGTAGAAAGAGAAATGAATGAATATTTATAAGCCATTTTCTAGTGCCAAGCACTGTGCTATGTGAGTTACTTACCACAGCAGGTCACATCTATTGAGTACTTGTCATGGGTGCCACCAAGCTAAGCCCTTCATGCATGTACCCTGCAGTAATCCTATGAGTTAGGTGTCATTACTTACCTGTTGTGTAGGTGAGAAAGGCTAGCTATTTCCTTGGTTCATCTGGAGACCTGCTATGGGGGAAAGGAGGTCCCTGGAAACACACAGGCTTGCTCATTCCTCCTTCAGAACACAGCCCAATATCATTGCTTTTGATCTTTCTGGTTTTTAACTATTAAAATTCTTTTAGTTTTTAACTAAATACTGTTTTATTTAATAGTGGTCATCCATGCACAATATAAAATATCTCACTTTTCACCTGTGTCCAAAATGGTAAGCTCAAGGAGGCAGAAACCCAGCCAACTTCAGCGTAGTTATACCATGAGTGTCCAGCAGGAGTCCCTGGCAGAGAAGTCACACACATCTTTGTGGGACAAATGTATGAATGAATGAATTCCAAATTTTACTGTGTTGAATGAATTAATGAATGAATTACAAGGACAGTAATATAGAAGATTGTCTAGAATATATGATAACTCTCGTCTTTTACTGTGTCTCTTTTATAGGCATCCTTTAAAATTTTTCTCAGTAAAAAAAAATTTTATATGACCGTGAAAATGACAGTACTCATCTTTATATTTGACTAAGTTTTACTAATGTCTTGAGGAAGGCTTCCCTTCATAACTTAGCAACTTCCAAATAGTTAATCAGAATACCAGCTGAAGCCCCAGGCTTTGCATCCTGGATAAACGAAATCTCTGCTTTAGGATATGCATTAATTGCACAGACATGAGCAAACTGTTGCTTAACTATTAAAAATCCAACTATATTTCTAAGGGTATTTGTTTAGAATTTTAAATGGGCTTTTGAGTGTTTCTGAGAGCTTTTGTAAAAATACCCTAAAGCTCTTCTGAACTGGGGCTCAGTTTATTTTGCCTTTCTCGCTCTAAAACTCAGCATCATTGGCTCATTCCAAGAGTTTTTCTAACTGTCGGCCTGAGAGAAGTAATTTCAGCCATGTTGTGTGATTTTCTGCCAAACTGAGCTGGCTCACGGACTGAAACTCACTCGAGAAGTTTTATGGACAGCAAAAGTTTTTAAATGGTTCCTTTTAAAGTGACTCGTGGCCTCGAGGATGACTTTGTGGTATAGATACTCTCCTGCCCCCTCAGTTCTCTTTGTTTTCTAGAAGAGATCCTGTTGAAGGTACCCCACAGAATCACAAGCGCTCCATTTCATGACCCCTCCAGCTGCATCACCTATTTATTTATAACTTAGAAGGAACCCTGCGGGGGATTTCCTCTCAGCTGGCCTAGATTTATACAACATATGAGCTACAGCCAAATCTAAAACTGTAAATAAGCTGACAACAAGCAGTAAAGATCTTTTTGGTGTAGCGTCTTCAAGGATGGAGGAATGTCCATGCCGCATGGGAATGAACATGTTAAAATCGGTCTGGCTAGATTAAGGGTCTCCTGGCCGGCGAGCTCTGCCAGCGAGAATCTTTCCTTTGTCTCAGCATGCCCCCAGCTGGCAGACAGGGCTCATAATTTGCTTTCAAATATCTTGGCCTGGCCAAGATCTAGTGTTTAAAAAGAAAAGAGGCCCAAGAAGATTTCCCCAGTCTGCAACACTGGGCAAATAATCATCTTTGTGGGGTGATCTTTGGCTGTTGCAACACGTGAGGATTAACCATTCAATAAGGTTCCTGCTCTGTTTGAGAATAAGAAATCCGTTCAGGCACAGTTTATCTGCTCCAAGCTGTTGTCTTTTGCATCAACATTTTCCCACTCTCTCCATCCCTCTTCCAACATAGGGGGTGATGGAGAAGGGAACATAAATTATAGTCAGGGTCCCACTTGCTGCTCTGTTATAATCTGAATGGTTTAGCCATCAGGCCCACGACGGGCAGGAGAAAATCTGAATTCTGAGTTTCCGGAGTTTTGGGAGTATAGCAGATGTTGTCAGTACCCTGCCCATACTCCCTTAGCCCACCCAGAGGTGGCCTGCAGAGGGTTCCCTCACCCCTAAGCTTCCCTCATCATGCAGACGCCAGACTACCAGTGCCAGGAGTGACCCTCAATCAATGAGGTGTGGGAATTATCGAAAAAACATTCTCTTGTCCTGGCCTCTGAGGACAGGACGATTCCCCACAGCCTCTCAGAAGGCCCTGAGGGATTGAGTTCTGGGTGTCCACAGTGATAACATGGTCACTAATGTACATTGCGTTCCCTCCTGCCTCACTTTCATCACATCCTCACAGGGCTTCCTGGGATCAGTCCCCAAACAAACCCCTGAATTCAAATCCTTGTCTCAGGCTCTGCCTGAGGAACTCAAGCAGAGAACTTTTTGAGGGGGAAGTCAAACCAAGTCAGGCAGCCTTTACCACTGGCTGAAGCTGCCAAGGGCAGGCCTGAGAAGCAGTGGGCAGGAAAGGCAGCCTTGTCTGTAGCATTCACTGGGTGCCTGGGGTTGTTGACCTGGTCCCTTTCCATTTTAATTTGGTTCTTTTGCCTCATTGACAACTACCACAGCCAGAGCAGGGCAGTCTCTGGCAGGTTCCTGAGTGCAGTGAAGCACAGGGTGCCGCTCAAGAGAGGGACCAGTGGAGGCTGAGATCAGGCCTGCCTGGCTCTGTCCAACAACCCTGAGTCAAGGCATGGGGCTGGGGCAGCAGAGGAAGGAGAGCTTTTTGCTAATTGGTGGATCCAGAGAGCACATGAGTCATATCCCCATAGGGATGACTTTTCTAACTTGCCCAAAGATTCTTTAAGTCCGGCAGCCATGGCCAATGGAGGATCACCAATTGGGTTGCCAACCGTGGCCGCTTCTTTGGTTCCAGTCTTGAAGATTCTATGTGCTGCCCAGTGCAAGGTTCCAAGGCAACCCAAGACCCTGTTCTTGGAGGACTTTGTCTCCCAGAGAGTACCACCTCCAAGGAAAAGGGACTAAGGTCACCTCTCACTATTGCAACGTAAAAACAGTTGCAATACAGCACAGCTGTTTG